AGGATGTTAATTAATCAAGACTTGATGTGCGAGGGGGAGGGTGACGGGGGTGCCCTTCAGGGGCTGTGGGCATCATGGCTGCTTGCATCTGTGTTTGTGCACACGCATGTGTCTGTGTGTACATGTGTGCCTGTGTGTGTCTGCATGTGCACCTGTGCCTGTGTGCATCTGCGTACTCCCATGTGTCTGTGTGTGCCTGTGCTTGCATGTATCCATCTGTCTACGTGTGTCTGTGTCTGTGTGCCTGAGTGTGTGTGCCTGTGTGTGCACCTGTGTGTGCCTGCGCGGGCCTGTGCCTGCATGTGTGTCTGCATGTGCACCTGTGCCTGTGTGCATCTGCGTACTCCCATGTGTCTGTGTGTGCCTGTGCTTGCATGTATCCATCTGTCTACGTGTGTCTGTGTCTGTGTGCCTGAGTGTGTGTGCCTGTGTGTGCACCTGTGTGTGCCTGCACGGGCCTGTGCCTGCATGTGTGTCTGCATGTGCACCTGTGTGCATGCGTGTGCCTTCATGTGTGTCTGTGTGTGCCTGTGCTTGCATGTATCCATCTGTCTGCGTGTGTCTGTGTCTGTGTGCCTGAGTGTGTGTGCCTGTGTGTGCACCTGTGTGTACCTGCATGGGCCTGTGCTGCATGTGTATCTGCATGTGCACCTGTGTGCATGTGTGTGCCTTCATGTGTGCCTTTGTCTGTGTATGTGTGTGTCTGCACGTGCCTGCATGTGTCTGTGTGCTCATGCATGTGGGGCATAGGGGGGTGTGAGGGCGTCTTGGGGACTCCTGGGGTCAGGCTCTGCTCACTCACTTCCTCCCTGCTGTGACCCACAAGCCGTCAGCTCCTGGGCGAGGCTCTGCAGGCCTGGCTCCCCGGCACTCTGGGGGCAGAGGAAGGAGGGCTGGGCCCGGTCTCTGCTCCCAGAGTGGCAGCCTCCCTGGGTCCCTGGCTCCTTTGCCAGGTGTGGCGGGTTTTCCAGACTAAATGCACATGTCTCCTGTGGACACCTGTTTAGGGAGCTGGCAATGTGCCGCATGGGGGCCCAGGGGCGGTGCTCGAGTTATGGTCTGGGCGCAGGTTAGAAGGCAGCAAGGCCGGTGGCCCACCCTGCGGAGAGCAGGTGGTCCAGAGGCTCCCTGGGGTCGGCCGGCCAGCGCCCAGCATGGCGAGCCCACCAGGTTCGTGCTGCACGTCTTGGCGGGTTCCCGACTCTGGACTCTGGGGCCAACACCACCCCCTCCCACAAGCAGGACATAGGCCTGGAGGGAACCCTGGTCAAGCGAGTGGGGGGGTGGCCGCAGGGGTCAGGGGGCACTCTGTGTGGACATCGTCCGTCCTTCTGGTGGAGTCCCTGGGGCGGCTCCTGCTGCCAGCCCAAGGGCCCACCGGCCTCACTGTGCTGTGTGCCTGGGCCTCCCTGCAGGAGTCGCCCATGCAGGGCCAGCGGGTGCTCACGGCCACTGGGCCCCGCAGCCGTTTCTGATTCTGCGGGGCCCTCTAGGGGCCACCCGCGGCCATGCAGGGCAACCGCGACTTCTGTGAAGGTCCCTGGGCTAGGCCCCTGTGTCCTGGCCATCGGGGCCTGGTCAGCTCCTGGCAAATCTGGAGCAGTGTGCCAGGCAGGAATGGGGCAATTCCTCGTCACGTTGACGATGGCAGGCTCCATGACAACCCTTCCACGTTACGTGCAGCGGAGGAGGAGGCTGAGCCGTGGGCCCGCGCCCCCTACGGGGTCCCTCTGGGCTCCAAGTCCAACCGAGGGCCACATCCTCCTTGCCCACCCCACCCGGCCGTGCCTGGGAAGACACACACAAGGCCCAGGGCAAATGTGAAATTAGGAGGAACTTCAGGGTAGATTTGTCTCCCACTCGGAGGGAAATGCCTGAATGCTGTGGGCCAGGCAGACCGGGGGACGCTGGTAGCCAGACCTGGGCAACCTGGCCCAGTGGACGTCCCTCCCACCAGCAGGGCCTGAGCAGAGGTTTGGGAAGGGGGTTCTGCTTTCCCGAGATGAGGGGAGAAGCCTCAGAGGCAGCCAGACGCCCAGGCCTTTCTAGGCCCCAGGTGGAGGGCGGAGGCCACCTTGCCTACCCCGAGGGGCATTCCAAGCACTCTGGCCGGTCGAGTTGCCTGTGAGCGGACCCTGGAGGGCTAGGGAGATGCTGTCCTAGGTTCTCAGTGTCCACATTGTCTTTGGCATGGACCCCAGGTTTAGGTCCTGCTAGGGCCTGGGGGAGGCAGGGCGGTCAGCAGGGGAGACCTGGGCAGGAGCAAAAGACCAGTGTCTGTGAGAAAAGTGACCAGAGTCACTGGTCCTTCCTTGAGCAGAGCGAGAAGTCGAGCCTCTGGCCCGTGATAGGTGACCAGAGCAGCTCCAAGGTCTGGTGGAAACATGTGGCAGCTCCCGCACCCCATGTCCCAGCCCTCCAGACAGGGCTGCCCCCCAGGCTGCATCCCCACCAGGCAGGAGCTTCCCCCGATATCCTACACCCCATGCTGGCCCCACTGGCTGGCATGGGGGCCCTTCCCAGCCCCCTCAGGTCTCAGCCCAAGGGCTGATGGGAATATCTTGGAGGTTCTTGCCCTGGGGGAAACGCAGCACCTCTCACCCTCTTAAGCACAGGGGACGGCTTTTCCCCCCAGACCTCCCTTCGACAGCCCCCAGCTTTCTGCCCACAATGGCATCTGGCCAGCCAGGTGCTCTCTGGACAGGTCACTGCAGGGTCCACAGCTTCTGCAGGGGCAAGGACTTCTGGCCTGGCCCTGGTGTACCCAAGAGACTGAGGTGGACCCCAGGTTTTGCTTTGGGGCAGAGCAGGAGTCTCCTGAGCAGGTGCTGGCCCCAAGAATAGAGGGCAGGGAAGACACCGGGTGCAGTGCTCTGGGGGGCCTCAGTCCCTGGGACTCCAAAGAAGAGGCTGGCTCTGTGTCAGGAGAGCTGCATGGTGGGATTAAGTGTGTCCAGGGAAGAGAAGGCCATTGTTATTCTAGAACTCCCTGGGGACTGCTCCAAGTAGAAAGCACCTGGGTCTCCCAGGGAGAGCTCAGGGCTGACTGGGGCACCCTCTCCCCAAGCTCACAGTGGACACTTGGGAACACCGCCCGGCCAGCCACTCTCAGTGCAAGCAGGGCAGGCTTTTGCCCCCAAGGCCCGCGCATCCACCCTGACCTGCATGTGGCCTCTGGTGAGGGAGCCCCAGCCAGCTGTGCTCTCACAGGCTTAGTGACTCACAGTGGTGGTGCCTGGTGCTGAGGCCACCCAGAGAGGGCCGTGTGCCCCAGCGGCTGGCCGCCAGTCCTGGTGTCCACATCCAGCCCAGGCAGGGCCGTGAATAGAACAGGGGCACCTTTGACAGCCAGGGACAAACAGAGGCTCCGCAGGCCTTAGAGATTCAACACACCCGCGAAGCCCAGCAAGGAAGAAGGGCCGCCCACGCCGCCCGCCCCAGGCACTGCTGGGCTGAAGGGCCCAGCGCTCCCTTGCTCCGGCCTAGACTGGGGATGCACAGCTCGGCTGCCCGCCATTACCCAGCTCACCTGGCCTCACAGGGAGCGGCTAGGGGGCCGTGTGCCCCGGCGGCTGGCCGCCAGTCCTGGTGTCCACATCCAGCCCAGGCAGGGCCGTGAATAGAACAGGGGCACCTTTGACAGCCAGGGACAAACAGAGGCTCCGCAGGCCTTAGAGATTCAACACACCCGCGAAGCCCAGCAAGGAAGAAGGGCCGCCCACGCCGCCCGCCCCAGGCACTGCTGGGCTGAAGGGCCCAGCGCTCCCTTGCTCCGGCCTAGACTGGGGATGCACAGCTCGGCTGCCCGCCATTACCCAGCTCACCTGGCCTCACAGGGAGCGGCTGCTGGGTGTCGAAGCTGAGGGATTCGAGGGGCTGGAACCCAGCTCCCAAACACCGTGTGTCCACCGAACCCTCCAGACCCTTCTGGGCAGATGGGGGTGGCTCTGCTCCCACACTCCCCTGCAGCTCAAGGCTGAGGCCTCGGCTCTCCTTGAGCTCCTGGGAAGCCTGAGGGTCCAAGTCCTGGGATCCCGTGCACTTGGTGCATTTCCAAGCGGGACAGCTTCTCTGGCCCATTTCTCTTCCTGATAGTGGGGTGTTTGGTCAGAATGTCCCATGTCTCCGGGACACCTGGGTAAAGCGTGTGAACCCTCCAGGCGCCAGTTAAAATCCAGTGCCTGCCCAGGGGTCTGGGAACCACGTGGCTCCTGCTTCTCGGCCCGGCCACGTGGGGTCCCCCATGCCGTGTGCGTGTCACTGTTTCTTTCTCACATTGTGCTGAGCAGTGTCCACGGTGTGCATGTATTACAGTGGGCTTATGTGGCCCCTGCTGAAGAACAGTTGGATGGTTTTTAGGTTTTGGTAATGGATGTTCAGGTACAAGTTTGTGTGTGAGTTCACGTTTGTTTATCATGAGAACCCAGGGATGGGACTGCTGGGCTGTACGGTGGGTGTCTGCCTCCCCAAGACACAGCCGCTCACCGGCAGGAGGGAGCGCTGCCCCTGCCCCACACTCGCCTCGGCACGCGGTGGTGCCATTTATTCACTGTAATTATTTTACCCGTCCTAGAGGGTGTGCGCAGCAACCTCATTGTGGTGTTAACTGGAATTTTCTGCATCGTGTATTTTTTTGGTTAGAGGGGCCTTTGTCCCGGCTGTTCCACTAGGATTCCCAGGGACGTGCAGGACCCTTGCAGATCTGAGCCTCACCCGCGCAATCTCTTGTTTTAAACACTGAAAGGCCTCACTAATTTGGATTAGTTGGGGGTTGGGGCAGATCTGATCAAAATAGAAAAATACTTTTAAAAGATGGAGCCAGTTTAGAACCTTCTTGAAACCTCCTGAATGACCTATGGTGGGGCAGGGGCAGCAGAGGGTGCCAGGGATCCAAGGTGGTGCCTGGGTGGGAGCCATGGCCTCCTGTTCCACCTGCGACCCCAGCTCGTCCCTGGGCTCCTTCCCCTTCCCGGCCTCTCAGCAGCCCCTCCTGCCCACAGGGGGAAGTCCTGCCGGACCATCACCTTCGAGCAGTTCCAGGAGGCACTCGAGGAGCTCGCCAAGAAGCGCTTCAAGGACAAGAGCAGCGAGGAGGCTGTGCGCGAGGTGCACCGGCTCATCGAGGGCCGCGCGCCCGTCATCTCGGGGGTCACGGTGAGCCCGGGGCCAGGGCCTGGGCAGGGGAGGGGCGGGGCCTGCTGGGGTGGGCGGGGGCCTGGTGCGTGGGGGCAGGGCCTGATGCACGGGGCAGGGCCTGGGTGGGTGGGGCGGGGCCTGGGCTGGCGGGGGGGGGGCCTGCAGGGTGGGAGGGGCCT